CCCCCCCCCCCCCCGCTGCCTCTGCATACCTGAGGTGCTGGATTATTGTCAGAGGATAGGCATATGCAGTAATTGTTTTGTACAGCTTTGTTTATCTCCTACTTCGGAGTTTACCTCAAGAATTCTCCTCCCTGTCCTATGCAGGGTATAAATATTCCCGTGAAGGAGCGGGATAACGAATGGAAAGGTTAACGCGGTACTGGCAGCAAGCGGGCAGGTAACGAGCGGTTCAAGGAGGTTTGAAGTTTTTATCGGTAACTTGGGTCCGCCCGGGAGCAAAATATTTGAAGTGCAGCACCTTGAACACGTTTAATTATGGGGTAGTAGCAAAGCGAGAGCTTCCAAGTAATTAGAAAATACTTCTTGGGAGACAGGCTAATCGCTTTTCATGGGGCGCTTGAAGAAATTAACCTTTGGGTGCTTGTTTGAGCAAAACAACTTGGATCAGCCACCGCTGGTCTTCGCTGGTGGACCTGACCCGCTCTGAAATACAAAGGAAATAGGGAGAAAGATTTAATATTAGATAAAAATAAAAGATTAAAGGAAATGAAAAGGGGAAATAAAAATGATAAGAAGTAGGAAAGCAAAAAGGAAAAGGAGAGGAGGGGAAGGACTCGCTGCCCAGTTCCCTGAAGGCGGCGAGTGATGCGTGTCACCGCAGGGAAGCCACCTCCAAGTGAAAATGTCATTTAGAGGGAGAGCCGAGGGTCGGGGTGAGGCGGACACCGGAGCCGAGCCACCAACTCCCGACCATGCTCGGCCCTCCGCGGGGCCGCGCAGCCCTCTTCCGTGCGCCCCATCGGGGCACTGGCACCGTGCGGGCCCCGGGAGGGATAACTGGTCGGCTGCAAGGGGAGGAACCGCGCCCGCATCCTCACTCCTCTCTCACGAGCCCCGCCAAGGATCTGCGCCCCCCAACCTGTTCAGCCCCCTCTCGACCCTTCGGTCGTGCAGCCGTACTTCGCTCCCTAATTTTGGTTCGGGGTGTTTCTCCCTAAAGGCAGCAAGCAAAGCAGCAGCGGCAGTTTTCCCCGTTCTAAAGAAGCGGGGACTTCGGGGAGGTTGGTTCGGAGGGAGAAAGGTCGGCGTTTTTTGGGGGGAGCACAGCGCCGCAATGCCATTTGGGGAGCAGTCAGGGCAGATCAAAGGCTCCTGTCCGGTTGCGGGAAGGACGAGTCAATTACCGCCGAACCGCGCGGCGGGGAAGGGACGGGCCCCCCCGGGCAGCCCGCGGGCACCGGGCCGGGCCTGTTCCGCCCCCCCAACATCCCCCCCCAGGACCCCTTTGTATCGCCGCCGCTCGCTTAATATTATTTATGCGTTTCTGCAAGGAATTGTGGGATGCCGGTCCCCCTCCCCCGGTAAACACCGGGGCAATTAAACCCCCCTATAACTCATCTCTGGGGAAAGAGTACGGGGGAGACACACGGGCTGGGGCGGGGGGGGGGACGCGGCGGTGCGCGCCCCGCGCAGGGGCACCCGCATCTTCCCCCCCGCGCATCCCCGCGGCGGTCGGGCCCGTCCGTGGGAGGGGCGTGGGCGCTGTCACTTACCGGGGCGCCCCGCACCACGTGTGCTCTCGCCCGGGCTACCATTGGCCCGAGGCACGTGTCGGAGCGCCCGGGCCGGCGACGTCAGCGACGGGGGCCCCGTTAAAACCTAAAAGGACAACAACCCGAGTGGAAGTGCCCGGGCGCGGCGGCGGCGGCCGCCGGGGCGTAGCGCGGCGCAGGGCGGGCGGCAGGGCAGGGCAGGGCAGGGCAGGGCGGGACGCCCCCCCCTCCCCCCCACCCGCGGCGGCCCCCGCATGTGCGGGCGCGGGGCGGCGCGGGGCGAGGCGCTGCCGGCCGGAGCCCCGCGGGGCGCCCCTCACCGCCCTGCCCTCCGCGGGACACCGGCTGCTGAGAGCCCGCCTACACCCCGCCCCGACACCGGCGCTTCGTTTTTTTTTTTTTTTTTTTT